TGTGGAGTCTCCTTCTCTGGAGATATTCAAAGCCCCCTGGATGAAGTCCTGTGTAACATGCTCTAGGTGAGCCTGCTTGAGCAGGGGGGTGGCACTGGGTGAGCTCCCGAGGTCCCTTCCAACCCTTGCAATTCTGGGATTCTGTGATTTAGTAAGCGTATTATTATGAATACGTGTATAAGAGTGGAGTAGCAGGAGAGACGCCGGTGGATGGCTTTTGGGCATGGCAGAGTAACTGTGGCGGAGGGGAACTGGGTAAGTAGGAGAAGCAGTGGTAGGAAACGACTGTTTTCACCCGAAGCCGATGGAGTTAAATATGGTTATTTTGCTCTTTCTGACTCACAGCGCTGGGTCCCTTCGGGTGAGTGCTCACTCAAAAGGCAGCAGCCCCCACTGGAGTGGGGAGATGGGGCTTATCCCCATGCCAGCCTTCCCTGCCTCGTCCCACAGGGGAGCTGGGGGCTCCGGCTGTCCTTCCAAATGCCTTCTGCGCCGCCAGTGTCTTTTTTTTTGATAGCAAGCATCACATCCCTTCAATGCTCCCACTATCGGGCAGGGACGGAGCAGGTAGAACAGTTTCCTAGGAAAACTTTGGCTTTTTTTCCCATGGGTTTTGGCCCTGCTGGGCCAGAGGGTTTTACCCCAGCCCTGGGGACTTGTTGGCCTGGCTCAGCCAGTTCCCAGGCTCCCTGCCTGTCTCACCAGCCGCATCCTTTCCCTGAGCTTTTCCCTCCGGCTTTTCCTGCAGGGATAACCTCAGGGCATAGCCACTGTGGCTTGCACAGCTGTGTCCCATTGCAGCTTCACAGCTTTCCCCCCTCATTCCTGATTGCTGGGCAGGTTATAACAGCAACCCCCTACCAGCTCCCCCTTCTTAGATGCTCCACTGGCTCTGGGGTGACTTTGTACGTGGTGGCACCCAGAGAAGTGTCTGTGGGAATGTCCCATGCTCGCAGGAAAGCCGTGCGGGTGTGCCGGCATGATGGGTGCAGCCACAAGCTCCGCGGGAGGTTTGCTGCTGCCAGAGCTCTCCGTTCAGCGCTGGGATTCTACGCTGCCGCTTTGGTGAGTCGCAAACCACTTTTTCTGTTTTTTTCATGAGGTCTGGGGAGCCACTGGGGCCCAGTAGTTAGAAAATACAACACTTTTTAAATTTTTCTTTCTTTCTGCAAGTTGCCTGGGGAGGCTGGAGCAGTGGCTGG